GTAACAAATAAGGTAGAGACATAGTTCAAAAAGACTATAAAAATTGAACAACCTAATGTGTCTCATGTTTTAGACTAAGCATTGTTTTTAAAAAATATATATCCTATGCTGTAACATGGATTGAATAACATTTCATAATCATCAATAGGCTCCTAAAAACCACGCTGTATATTACACACACACACAAATATCCTATAAACCACTTTATTATATGCAAATTTGAATTTGATAAGTAGTTTAAATATATTCACTTATTCAATAAGTGTTTTAATTATAACTATTAAATTTTATCAACACTTAAAAATCATTGAGATTAATTTTCCTTCAAAAATTCAAAACAATTATCACAATCAAAGCATTTCTCACATGTGTTGTCACCGTCAAACATTTGATATTAATTTGGTACTTTTTTAATATTATATGACCAAATTTTTTATAACCTTTCAGTTAAATTAAACAGTTGTTTTAATATCATATAAGTCGGATCATAACCCATTATATACTACTTATTAAGTACAATTCAATATGGGATTTTCACGTCTGATCAAGTGTACTCTACATCCTTACAAGATTAAAAAATAAAAAAGAAAAAACACAGAGAAGAGGGATTAATATGAGATTACCTGTGGGAACAGAGGAATGCCATGAAATGTGGAAATGGGAAGGAGAATGAGATAGCAAAGAGTGGAAGAGAGAGTGGAGCCCAAAGCAGGTACGTACTGTATCCCATTTGAAAACCCAAGCTGATCTTCCCGTGCCCATAAATGAAAGGACAGTACTTGGAGAAGAAGACCTGAGACAAGCCATGTCCCCACCTCCTGTGCTGAACAAGAAGCACGTCAAGGGTTGTCGGAGCTAGTCCCATGAAAGCCTTTCTTTCTGGGTTATAGTAAATCGATTTCCAACCTCTGCTTGAGATCACAAGCCCTGTGACTACGTCTTCCGCAGGAATCCCATATATCAATCCCATCTTCACAAAAAAAAAAAAAAAAAATCATTTGTTTCTTTCATTAATGTGTCACGCATGTATGCATGAACATCTTAAATACTTCAAAGTGCAACTTAAAGAGTTAATCATCTGTAGGTTATGACTTAAAAAAGACATACCTCTCTGCCCCACTGTGTGCCCTTCTCATATGCACAACTGGCAAGAGCTTTTGATGCTTCAATCAGTTCATCAGCTGTTCTTTTATCTTCTGTCTCAAGTTTGGTGTCCCATTTTGCTTTGCGATAATCTTTGAAATGTGTTCCTGAGAGACTCTCTCTTCTATGGAAACACCCAGTTCCACAGTATAGGGTTCCTCCATGTCCACATAAGCCAGCAAGCTCAATCTTAAGCAATTCACACACACACACACAAAGGTTTTAGTCTTTCATGTTTCAAATCGTCAGTGTCAATTATTTTTATCTGTAAAACATGGAAATTGGAATTGCATGCGGCGCATGCACATGGCACTGAAAAGAAGAGTTTAAAGTGTGAGACCAAGTGTTTTAATTAGTTCACCTGAGCGGCCACAGCAAAAGAATTTGAGAGGAAGTCATTCTTAGTGAGATTGTTGAAGCTTTGGGGAAATTGCACATAAGCTATCTGGTGGCCTCTTGTTTCATCCATGAAGAAACACAGTGCTTCTTGGATCGTATCTGAACTACTTGGATACATGTCGCAGTCCAAGTTGAGAATTATAGCTCCATTGCTTATCTCTGATGACACTCTTATCTGCAAATGCACAAGTAATTTAATTTCTGTCTGTAACTATATATAATTAATCATATAGTTCTGTTTTAAAATATCACTGCTTCGTATAAATTATTAGTTACGAGTGCATTCATAGCTCCTGCTTTGAAGTGGTGAGGGACATTGGTCGCTTCTCCCGTGCCACGTATACTAGGGTTGGCAATGGAAATCCGTCATCATCTACAGCATTTGTGTCCCTTCCGTCAATTATAATCTGGGCCAAAAAAAAATAAAAAGTAAAAAAATTATTCATGAACATATGCATGCATGAAACACTACATAGCATATAAGTTTCAACACTTGTTTTTGTCTAAAAAAAGTCAAAGAAAACTAATCATTTGGTCCATTATTTTTAACTCAATTTTAACCTAGTTTTTAAATTATAACTGCTATGTAACCCAATTATTATAGTTTTGACCGATTAAAACTCTGCCTCTAAATTTTAGAACTTAACATATGCAACTCAATCATTGTGATTTTAGGCATTTAAAACATTAGTCTCTAAACTTTAATAATGACTTTATTTTTTATAATTTTATTTTTTAAAATATAGATGCCAACATTTTAAATATGAATTGCAAGAATCAAGGTTTATGAATTGGGTTTTATTTAATCATGCTAAAATTATCAGATTGAGTTTCAATAAATTAAAACTGTAGGAACAAGATGATTAATTTCTCCCATAAGTTATACATATATACATGTACCTGCACGATGGGATGATGGTTCTGCTTTGTGGCTTTGGCATTCCATTCTGAGAATCCTCTGTGTTGGCTCCTCACTGCATCCGGAACCTTTCCTTTTTCTACAACTGAGTCTATCTCACTTTTCATATCTTCGTATAATTTCTGAAAAACCATATTGAACTATTCAGCTTATATAGATACATATGCTCATTGCTTTTGTTAAGTTATATTAACATTAATTACCTTGATGGATGAGAATTTTGGATGATTTTGATGGCTGGCCCCAGAATTCTGGGAAAAGTAAGCCTCAGGAGATCTGGGTTGAATGTTGAATCTTCTGCAGAAAGGAATCCAATGCTTGGAGAAAAGAGAAGCTCTGAGAAGAGCATAGAAAGTGAGCTCAGAACCTCCATCATCAGAGAGATAAACACTGAGCTTATTTGCAGGATAATTGTAAGACATTGCTGATAACAATGTGTTCATCACCATGCTTGGTGGCTCCAACTTTGGATCTGCCGTGCACACAAATATGTCAACTCCTGGTAGCTCCTCTTCACCATATCTGTAAATTCACATGTCCCGGCACAAGTTATTTAATTTATTTACCTTTACGTACGTATAAATTAACACACAATGTATCGTCAACTCACACTATTTATTTTAAAAAAGGGGGGGGGGATATAGTTTTGATCTCTAAAATTGTGATTAAACTTGGGTCAAGGTCGTTGTCCGTTTCATTAAGAAACCAATCCCTCCAATTGCGATCATTCTGGTCATTATAAGTGACACATCATTGGCACACATCAATAACAAGTCATCCATTTCCCTATGTCATGACCTATGAAGTATCAATACTTCAAATACATCACATATCTATATTGGTATTGTATTCGATACTAATACTCTCGATACTTTTTCAATATGTATATCCATAGAGTTTCAAAGCATTATTTTTTTAATTTTAAAAAATTTTATTTTTTAATATGTATTCGATACTTTTAAATTACGAGTTGATAAGCCGATACTTGAGGCTATTTTTTAAAAAATTAAATTTTATTAAATATTATGATATTAATTTTTTTATTTTTGCTATATTTCTATGATTTGCTTTTAAATTCAAAATTATATTTTCATTTAAAAAATAATTTTTAGATATAATAAAGGATAAAATTATTTTTAATTATAAAAATTACAAAAATATAATCTTTTGACATATAAACCCTAAATATGAAACTATTAGCAGAGACTAGACTGCAAGCAATTGGTAAAGACGAAATAAGAGTATAATTAATGATGATATTTTGATCAGTATTTCTATAAAGTACTATATATATATATATTGAGTTGGATATTTTTTTAAATTAAAATTACATTTTTAATGTTTTTATGATTTTTTATGAATATATTTGCACGTATAAAAAACGTATCGTATCTTATATATTTAAAAATAAAAATATTGACATATCCAATACATGTATCAGTATCTGTGCAACATGTGTCATGACTTGGGCATAGTTGATTGTAAATTTAATGATTGATTTCTTAATGAAAAATCACGTGGTCTTTTATTCAAGTCGACCACAATTTTAGAAACTAAAACCTTTTAATGTGTATTGAGTAATGACACAATGAGTTCGCATGTGAATGTGACGTATAATAAGTATTAGATAAAGATGAGTTACATATTACTTTCTTATTAAAAATTTAAGAAATTTTTTTATTGAATTTCACTTTTTAATAAATTAATTACTTGTCTTCAAACTAATATCATCTTTTTATATTTATTTAATTTAATAAAATATTTAAATTTAAAATGAATATAAAATAGTTTATTATCATGTGTACTTTAAAAAAAACACATTAATTATACTTTAAAATACTAAAATTTTAAAATTATCTTATATTTTTTAATATTCAACCCTTTTAAAAAATATTTATTTTTTTTTAATGGATGGAGTATAATATATATGCATTAGTTTTTATCTCAAATCCTTTGCTTACAGAGCATGCAATTTTTGTATAAATTATGTATTTATCATATTATTATTAAAACTCTTAAACTTGTCACGGTTGAGCTTAAAATTTTCATATATTACAAAAGAAAAGGGGAGCATCTAAATCTATATCGATATACAAATCTACTAACCAGGACAGAGGTTGACACCATGTCGATTGGCTCTGTTTTCGCTACAGATAAGAAGATAAGGAGGAACTGATGGACAATTGCACCCATTGAATGAGAGGATTTAAATAATGCTTGGAAACAACATTAATTAATCATGAAAAGTTCCATTTGAGAAAAGGATAAAAATGGAAACATGAAAGTGAGGAGGAGATTTAATTAATTAATTAATTACCTGCGGGAGAGGATGTGTTTGAAGGGGGAGTGATGGAGAATAGTCCAACGAAGAGATTGAGTGAGAATCCAGAACACTCCGAAGCACATCTCCGACCACATCATACACACATGAACCCATCCTCCTCCTCCTCCTCCTCCGGCGGCAAATACCTTCCTTATTCTGTACCCCCATATCATGCATATCCCTTCATACACACACACAATCATGAGTATGTACTATGTACTGTGTAATTATGTTCATGAAGGCGTCATTAATCTAGAAGAAACACAACATTAACGTAAAACGTACCTGCGAAAATTGTGCAAGAAAACACCCTGTAAGCTCCTCTCCATTTTACTTCTTTCGCCTCATATAACATGGAGCCTGTTTCATCATCACATGCTTCCGTCTCTTCTCCTCTGCTTCCCATTCTCATCTCTCTCTCTCTCTCTCTCTCTCTCTCTCTCTATGTCAATGTGTTGTCTGTTAATCTATCTTTCTACTTATCTCAGCTCTTTCTCTGTATTTACATGTATGATATATCTCATTTCTGGTCTGCGTACGTTAATGTGACAGTTTCACGTGGAGAGAGAATAGTGATGTCCTGGTGGCTCACGACACTGAGCGGTCAAGTGACTCCTTGATTGCTCGGTAGCCAAATGGATTCCGTAAGCGCACTCAAACACTAAGTGACAGTATTTAAATCGTTAAACTTCATGTCAGTACTTTTAAATTTATATTTCACTTAATATTAATAAATATATAATTTTTAATTATTTAAATTATTTTTAAATTTAATTTAAATTTAAAATAATTTAACGATTTCTTCTTTGTTTTCCTTTCGTTTTCTTTATTTTAACTTTAAAAGTATTGACAGATATTATCGAGGAAGAGATGTTTTGAATCAATTAATGAAATTCATTTTTCAAAAATTTCATCAGAAAAAAAAGGGAAATGGAGTTTTTTTGAAACATCGAAAAAAGTTTTCTATTTTGTCATTTATACGAATAAAAATCTTATGATTATTAAGCACTCAACAGAACCCCCTCTTTCTTCGCTTTGACGAGAGGTAGTCCTGTTGAGTGCTTACGCTTTCATTTCGAAAACTCAGTTCAGCCGATTACTCGATTACTACAGGGATGAACCCAATCCAGAATATGAACCATAAAATATACATGTATTTAGATTTAAATTTATATTTAAATCGTTAAACTCATAATGCAATTATTATTTTTAATTATTTAAATTATTTTTAAAAAATTATTGATTTTTAAATTAAATTATCTTGTACCCTTAATTTTGGATCTTGGCTCTACCACCAGGTTAAGTGTTACAGTAATCAAATATACTGTATTTTAAAAAATAAAATGAGATCAGTTTTAAGATGTTTTATTTTTTTATTTTGAAAATAAAAAATAAAAAAGTAATTAAAATTAAAATAGTTATTCAAACAATTTTGTATATTTTATTTTTAAAAATAGAAACCAAATTATCGTCTCCGAGCCTTAAATCTCCTATATTTTGTATTGTTGTTATTATTGCATGATTATGTATCTTTTCCACGGATTAATTGGCCTAGACTAACCAATAATCCTCCAATTCAATATGGACTTTTAACAACGCAATTTAATATGAACGATGATTCTTTGGGCGTTGGACAATTACATCTTTGTCTTAGCAGATCCCAATTTGGATCTCTCCTTATTTTCAAGGAAAAAAAAGGAACTTTTTAATATATATATATATATATATATATATGTAATTTCAAATCTGGACTGAAATATTTATAACTTTAAAAGACATATTTTACAAATCGTGAATAATACAATTTATCTTTCAAATTAAGTACATTACAAGTAGTTTATAAAATTAAATCTCCTCTGCATTATATAAAATTTGAAAAGTGGGTGATGATATTATTCAATTAGTTTTTATCAAAAAAATTACAATGAATAAAATTTATTTTTTATACTATTATTAATCTCTAATATTATTGAGTCATATTCAAGCATTGTCAAGTTATATATAAATATAATTAATCATTATCGTTTGAAAGGAAAAAAAAAACCAAATATTTATATATAGTTATGAAACTTTAAATATTTTTTGATAAAAATTAAATTTTAAAAATTAAATCAACAATTGCAACCAATTCAAGGGACGGTACAATTTATCATTCCTTTTAAAAACCCAAAAACTTGATTAAAATAATTTATAGCTATAATATAGTGGCAGCGTGGAATTTGGTACGAAACCAAACCTTCCAAAAGCAGTTAGGTCCATCTAATCTTCACATGCAAAACATCGATCATTAGATGCACTTAATTATTGGATCCAAAAAATATTTTTTTATTTTTTAATTAAAAAACAGCTCACGTGGCTTAAAACAATCATCACCGTCGATATTTACACGTATGTAGAGAGAAGGCGAGAAAATCTCATCAGGCATCATGACTATTTATACTAAGAGATATTAAATTTTGTTACTTTTAAACTTAGCCTTTTCTTCCCCCGATACTTAGAGGTGGCCCGTAGATGAAAATTATAAATTATGCCTTCAAAGATTTTAATTAGCTTGATTTTCTAAATAATTTCAGTTGCTACCCTCATAAAAAAATCACTCGCTTTCTTTAAAAAAAAAAATCCACTCCTCTTCCTAAAACTTACTTGAACCGGAAACTTATATGTATATAATAATTTTAAATAAAAAATAGTTATAATAAAATTTATTTAAAAATAATAAAATTAAAGAAATTATTATTTTATAGTATTTATAAAAATTTTGGTTGCACAAAAAACTTATTATTTTTATATTATTATAATTTTATGTTTTATAAATTATAACTTGATATTTAATTTAATAAATTTTATATTTATAGTAATTTAAAAATATTGAAGATTATATTTTTAAAAAATATTGATATTTATTTTAAAAATAAATTTTGCCTCAACTGATTAATTTCCCAGTGTTCGTCTCCAAATATCAGTCATACACCCCCCCGTTTAAAAATATGAGGCATTTTTTAGGAGTTAGATGTTAAAAAATGTAAGACATTTTTAATCTTTTGAGATATAATTATTGCCTTTTTTAAAAAAGTACCTCTATTATTAATGACTTTATATTTATTGTAGGGTGTTTAATAGGGATAAATTTAAAAAATAAAGTTAATTAAAAAATAAATAATTACTTTATTAAAGATAAAATTTAATTAAAAATATTTTATTTTTAAATGAAAAGAGCAGGGAGAAAAGCACTTTCAAATTGGCTCCGGCATTGTGGCCAAAAAGGGGAAAAATGATTTATTCAAGGTACCAAACCCTGATTGGTTATTAAATTAATTAAGACATTAATTTTAAAATTAATAGTTAAAATTTTACTTAAATTGTGATCAAATCGATCTTTTTTTTTTTTGTTACAATAATAACTTGACCTGAATTTTTATATTAAGTTTCTATTACTATAATTCGTGCCAAACTTTGTACGCAAGACAACGCGTCGTTTTCATTTAGACAAAAAGTGTTTTAATTTTTTTTTTTTAAAAAAGCAAAGAACAACTTGATAATTATTGGGGTGAGGAGGATGGCGGCCGATGAAAAAGTTCTCAGCACCCTAGAATTTGAATGCTTCTTTTTCCTCCACGTGGCTGGTTCCATGTATCCTGCTTCAGTGCTTCTCATCATCAACAGCAAGGGTATTTTTTTTATTTATAGAATGGATCATGGAAGGACAAAAATAACCCTACCACTGCTACAAATGCTAGCTTTACCAGAATAATGATTTTTTTTTTTGGCGAGTGGAAATGATCCTGAAATTTGCATGGCAGATCCCAATTAGAATTGCCATCATCCCAACTATCTGCCATGGGCAATTTGTATGCTGATGTAACAGTACATGATCCGTCACTAGTGAGATGTCATTGACTTTGGCTTTAGTTTTTCAAATTCAGAAAGGAAAAAAGGAGTGGATGACAAATGGCAAAGGGAGCCAAGGTCTCCAATCCAATCTTTCCAAAAATCGAACCATATTACCATTTCCAAGGTCCCATTTGGTTGTAATTTTGAGGACATTCCATGTACTAGCCAAGCTCCTTCGCGCTCCCTCCATCCTATAAAGTATTTTTTAAAAAATTTATTTTATTTTTAAATAGAAAAAGTGACAATAATATTTTTAAATAATTAAATAATTTTATTTTTATTGTAAGAAATAAAATAGATCATCAATTATATATTTTTCTACCATCATTATGATATTATTAAGAGTAAAATTAAAAATTATTATATTTTTATGTGAGTTTAATTAAATAATAAATTTTTATTAATATGTGAGATTTAATTAAAAATATTTTATATATAAAAACGTACAGAGTAAGTGTGATCTGGAGCCATTTTTTGAATGATGAAAGTACATTTGTATGCCATTTTCTTGCACATTTTCCCCAAAGAATTCTCAGCCAAAGTTGGACCGGCCGTCCAGAATAATGAATTTAATCAACTAACACATGCATGCAAACACATTTCCTTCCTTTCTTGAAAAAAAAAAAAAGTTAAAAACACAAATCCTTCTTTTTTGGTAAAAAATGTTGCAAGCATAATTTTTTTTCCATTTGATCGCTCAATAATTTGAAAAGCTTAAATATATTATCATCATCCATTCAAACTAATTTTAAAACCTTAATTGTGTGAAATTGTGTCATTATCAATGACAATCCATAATTACATCAGAAATACTTTTGACATTTTTTTTTAATGTGATTGTATATGCCATGATTTAAACTCCAAATTTTAGGATAAATTGATTTAACGTTTGCAACCAATCAAACGAAAGTGAGTTGTAAAATTTAAAAGTGAGTGGCCAAGCCACCTAATTTGATCATAACTTTGCACTCATAAAAGTAATTTCGATCGCCTCATAAATGATTTCATATGAAATAATCAATATTGAAAATGAGCCTTTTTATTTTTATTTTTTATAGAACACATACCAAAACAACAGCTCACTTTTATAGAACACACATGAATTATCTTAGCTTTCAAGTTGATTAGTATTCAAAGGACAATAAACGTTGCCCAGTGACGACACCACCTTCTTATGGCCAAGTTTAGGATTCTAGTCTTGCATTGACATTATACATTCGTTACGCGAGATGATTCTCCGGACATAAGATCCTTACTTAACCTAACGAACATTGACTTAATAAAAT